GAGAGATTCTCTGAAAATTGGTAATACTGCTATAGCCTTCAAGTGCCAGGTAGGTTCAGCATTACTAATTAATCCAGAGGGGACACTTACTTTAGCAGTGATTTTTCCTCAAAAGAACCTTGATAAAGAGCAGATAAAAATAAACAGATCTGTCACCCTTGAGTATGCTCAAGGGTCTCTGAATTCGGCTTCATTTAGGCAGCACTGTACAGTTGTATTTGTGGAAATGTTTTCTTGGCAAAGATGAAAACTGTCAAGGTAACAATGACTGTTTCAGCTTTTGGTCTTTGTTTTACAGTTCTGGTTCAAGCCATATACTGTAGTATATCTCATGTACAGATGCTGAAAAAGCTGCACATTACTATAGGGTATGTCTGTCTAATGGCATTAGGTTTTTTTAATAGTTGAAAATGTTTCTTTCTATAGATGGACCTAATAATTTTATCAGAAAATGGCTTTGCCTCTTCTACAGAGATTTTAAACCTTGCTGACCAACTTAAGACCAAGAAAATGAAGAAAAAGGAAGCAGAACAAGTGCTGAAAGTTTTTGTGGAGGATAAGTGGCTCTCTGAGGTAACTGCTGTATCTTTTCAAGTGTATTTTAATATGTCCAGCTATTATTTTCTTATGGATGTGATGGCTGAAACTGGAGCTGTTTTTTAATGAATGATGGCAAAAATGGTTTTGTGGAGCCTGTGCTTATTGCTACTCCAGCGATTTTTGCAGAAAAGGTAGTACATTTACAAGGAAAAAGTCCTTGGGTAAGTCTACAGAGGAGAACAGGGTTTCCATTTCTTGTACCTGAGCTAGGGGGGTGTGTGTGTGTACAGCCCTGCATTGCAACAGACATCCTTTGTACACAGCAGCATGGCACACTTACGCTTGGAACAGGAGCTGGGGAAAGCTCTTCAGGGTGATCAGTGCTGTCAGCTACATTTAGAATATCCTGAAAAGCAGCGAGGCCAAACATGCTGTACCAGAAATGCCTGAGCCACTGGGCAAATTTTTAAATCCCCTTTATTTCATAAGGGAGGAACTGAGATTAGCTTACCATGTGGACACTGCATGTGCTTGCCAAGACAATTGAGACCTCAATCCCTCTTCTCCTGCATTCATTGCATGATAGATCTCCAGCCTGCTGCCACACATTTACTTAGACTGGAGTCATTTAGCAGAGATTTTTCAAAGACACCTCAAGCAGTAAATGCCTAGATTTTGCTGAAAGCCAGTAGAATTTCCACTAATGTGCAAATGCAGGGTCCCAAAACTGCATGTCTTTGTTAAGGAGAGCATGCTTGCTCATCTGTACCTTCCAAGGACTAGATCTCTGTTAAAGGTGTGAGATCTTTGTTCTGATCCTTTAAACAAATGAATTCTGCTACTTCAAAAGTATTTTGGCTTTGCATTATAGCAGTGTTAGCGTGTTAGTTTCACGATGACAGAAAAAAGTGGATGTCAAATGCTTGCTAGCAGGTGCTTAGAAAAGTCATACAAGGTAAAAGGAATTAAAAGAAATTCCTTGTCTCACCACTTATTTCCTTAGAGAAATGGAGAATATACTCTGCATACTCGCTGCATAATTGAGATGGAACAATATATTCTCAGCAACTACCAAGATGTGGCAAGGAAGTGTAACATCTGTCACAGCCTTGCCATCCAGGTAACATTTGTTTTATTACCTCAGTAGGCATCTGCTGACATACTTATGTGGTCATAGCTAAAGTTTGTGATACTCTGAGCATTAGGCAAGCACTGAAAAATTCTGGTCTTGTAATGTCGTAATGGTGCCCATGTATATAAGAAAATACTTTCTTTTTTTTAAAGAAGTGTAGGTATTTTATCTTCTGCCTTAGGAAAAAAACCTTGTCTTGGAGCAGTATCTCTAAGTATAAACTTGGAGAAACCAGAGTCACACAGTGAGGAACATTATTGCGCTGTCTTGCTTTCCAGAGCGGGCAGGCTAGAGATGAACGCTTATCCTTAAATAGGCATAACAGTTGAGTGTTAGCTTTCTTATCTTTGGGCCTTACAAAGAGCAGTCTTCATGTGACACACATTCATCTTTGGTCCTAGGATTTTGGTTCAGGAATTGCTTGTGTTTTGGACTTGAGAATGAACATGTATGTTTATACATAGCATGCTAAAGCGCTGTATTTTGATAGCTGGTAAGTTACCAGTTTAGTCTTGCGTAAGTAGTTACAACTGGAACTCCAGCTCCAGAACTACTGCATTCTCCTGCTCTTTGACCCTGCATCTTCTCATCTTCCCATGCTTCCATGTTACTTTTTCCATCCCAGTTGGTCTCTGTTATTGCACCCAAATAGCTCAGTGTTGTCTTTCAAGCTAAATTTTGTCCATATAGGAAAATGGTATTTCCTAGCTTCCAGGAAAATACCTCATTTTATAATTTACCAGCTTTGACTTTTGAGTATCTACCAACTGTACTGTGTGAGTCATTCTTTGGAATGAAGCATTGTGTATCTGTTGCCCTTTGTAACAGCTATATGTTAAACTAAAGGACAGGTTAGAATTTTTTTTTTTATTAACACTCCTTATTTCAGAGCCAAGTATGTGAATCCTGTGGAATTGCAATGCATTTACCTTGTGTCAGAAAGTACTTTAGAGCTCAGACTGAACCACGCTGTCCGCAGTGTAATGATTTCTGGTCCTGCGACATTCCAGGTACTAAGCAACCTATTTAAAAAAAAAATTGAGTGTAATAATACTAGAGAATGGACTGAGATACTCAGTGGGACTGCCAGTATTACTTACAACTGTAGCTGAGTATCAGTTATTTCTGACTTCAGTTGTATGTTTCAGATAGTAAACCATACATGGGCAGCACAGAGCCCTCAAAAGTGCATGGATTATGCCTTAAGGTGATGATTTGATCCTGTGCATGTTGTTTCTACCAACATTAAAGTGGGGGTGGGGTGGGGAGCAAGGGGCGGACACAACACGCGACACTAAAACTTCTGGACATACTGAGCTTCTAAGAGCAGCACAATCTCTTCAGAATACCTCTACTTAGCCAGGGAAATTGGACATTCTGAACAGGAACACAGGAATATATAAAGCATTTTAAAAATCTGGAGGTTGTACAATATCATCCTTTTTTTGTGTGTCATTCATTAACCTTCCTTTTGTTTTCCTCACAGGTACGAGTCGGATGGACTCCCAGTCACCATCAAAAACAGGGAGAGCAGAGAAGAGCTTCATTCTCAGCCCTAGACGATGTTAGTAAAACTTGCTTTCAGTGAAATCTTTTTACCCCACTCTTGCAGAATAGTGAGACTGTATTGTATTCATTAGTCACAGTGCACGGTTCAGTGTACTTATTTTTTCCTGAAGTTTTAAGAATTTTAAAATAAAACTATCATTGACCTTCCTGTTCTTCTCCACAGTTACGCCTGCACAGCTTTCTTGGAGACTGTTTTGTGTATGTGCTTCTCCTTCTGGAGGCTGTTTTGTGTATCTAGTTCTCTATATTCTTGGGTTAGGACTCTCAGTGCATATTTGGGAATGAAAGATGCAAATGGTTTTAGTCAATCTTGCAAGCTGATCTATGCAGGTGAACTATTACAAGTAGCCTTTCTCAGCAAGGGTGTTCCCTATTTGTACTGTTTCAGTTGCACAACTGAAAATGAAACCTGTTACTAGCACCACAGGGCTTCCAAGTAGGTAAAAAAAATCAATGCAGCACTTGAGGTCTCCTCATGAAGGCGGCTGGCTGAATTATCTGATCTAGGGCTAGAGTTTGAACACTCAGTTGGCACCGTTGCTTGGGGGTTTGTTCCTTCTTTAGACACAGAGGAGTTCATCTGAGATAAGGCCAGGTCACGAGCAGCTACGTTCAATAAGAGAGAATATTCCCACAGTCAAAACGATTGCGAAGGAGTAGGACAAGACTTCTGGGGCAATGCCAGCTTATGTCTGCAAAGTGTTGAAAAAATGATTATCTTAAGATTCTTTTAGTTTTTAGTATTAGCGCTTCACTCTCCAGTTTTATGTAAAGATGCCTTTTCCTTCAAAAGTGACTTGAAAAAAGACAAGGACTAGATAATGCCACATACCAGAATGGAATGGCAGCAGCTCTTTTCCGTGGTAGAAACGTGAGACACCACAGAAGGCGGAGTGTCAGCAGCTCAGCTGATGGTTAATCAAAGTATGATTAAGCTTTGGTTTATTTAACTGCAATTAATTATGTTCTTAGGCCTTAACACTAGCAACTTTTTCCATATAGCAGGTTGGCATCTTGCTTTGTGTTAGCTTCTTTAAAATGTATTGAACCTTTGGGTAGCACCATCCCATTTTTACTGTTACTGAATCCAAGTAGAGGATAGCATTTGGAACCTGATGTTCCAAATACAGTTTGAAGCAGAGTCCTGGCAGTGCCCATATATAGCACTGTTTCAGATGTACACACACATACAAGTTGATGACCTAACATGCTCTTTGTGAGGAGTTAGAAACATCCACAAAAAAGTAAGTGGCTGTAGCATCTTCTGTCCATTTACGCATCCAGATTCTTTCACCATGCTGAAGCAAGAGTTTGTTGTTTTTTCAATCCACCTCTACCCTCTAGATAGGGAAGAACATTCTCATGCTTAAAAAGAATTCTCTTGTTAGAAGATGCCAGATGTTCCTTTTTCTGATTTTTAATTGCTAATACAGTGCTAACAGACTTTATGCATCCTTCAAAGCTATGACCACCAGAAACTGACAGAGAAGCTGATATCAAGTGATCGTACGTAGTGCCAATATTTAACTGGAATAAACAGAACCTGGCCAGGCATCAGAATACAGGACTGAAATGCAGCCTTTCTGAAATTGGGAAACTTAACTAAGTCAGGATCTTCCACATCAACCTATAAAAAACCAAAACAATCATCAGTAGAATGTCTTTATCAAATCATCTTTGAGTAACATTAACTGATACTAAAATTTCAGGCAACTATTTACCTGACTGGTGTTGTGAAGAATTTGGCTTTCATGTGGGTACAGGTTTTCTGAATCTTCTGGTGAATATAGACGGATATATTTTCTTCCAAATACCTGTATACATTACAATAATTGTTTTCTATGTGTCATTAACTTGCACATTACTGAAAACTATGGGGCATAGCTGGCACTTAACAGTAAAATATACCTGATTACAAGAAACATCACTATCTTTGTTAATAATAAACAGATGCTGCTGTAACAAAAAGTTAAAACAAATCAGACTATTGGAATTCAAGTACCTGTTCCCTTGGAGTGGATAAGAATCTGAAATACCAGGAAATGCCTTTAACCAAATTACTTTAAATTCAAAGTTTAAGGCACCCAATTTATACAATGTTATTTGGGTTCTATGTAGCTAGAAAGTAATTAGAAGAATGGATAAGGAGGTTATTTTCAGCACAGTTCACAACAGCGCATAGTGATTGCTAAGCTTCCATATACTCCTCTAGCTCTTATTTCTGTATCATTAAATCAGTTCTTTGACTGGAGTGCTTAATTGAAAGACTAGAATTTGTAAGGCACGTGGACTGACTGACCTGAACACTACACTGAATTGCAAGTCATCCATGGTGAGAAGGAAGTGGCAGAATAAACGAGTCAGAGCCGATTCCTGCACTGATGCCCATGGAGCGCCCACAGAAGGCACACGGTGAATATTCATGCAGCTTGTGCCAGGATTCAAGGTTTCTTCAAGGGCCAGGCATGATCACATTAGTTTGGAACTATCACATTAAAGAGTAGGTCAGTACTCTGACTAACCACAGTACCCTGAGCTGGCATCATGCTACCAAACTATTCCCAACCAAGCTGCTTTTCCTCTATCTTAATCCCTTCCCATATAATAGAACAGAATTTCCTGAAATCTTATCAACACCCAAGTTGTAATGCTAGATGTTTAGAGTTTGTTGCTTCAAGGGCAGCACGTAAGCGTATTCTAAGGGCTGGACAAGTATCAATGTATTCCTGCCCTACTCCTCGCTGTCACTGGTTAAACTGCTAGAGCACTGATCTGAATAACTACGGCTGTCCATGTATTTTTAAGATGCCTTCCATACCCCAAAGGGATTATCGATATTAATTAGGTCTCTAAAGAACCAAGTGTTAAGTGATATTTTTGGTGATGTATGGAAGTAAAGAAAGTGTTGATTATTGCTGCAGCAGCACATTTTCTGAATCCTTGAATTTTTTGGGGGGTGGGTGTTACCTGGACTGCTGTGAGCTATTAACGGCTCCTTCCTTCACTTGCCTCACTGGGTTAAGGCCTTGCATATTTCAAGGCTGAAAGCAGAAGTTAATGGTCAACAGCCTGCATCTCCAGATACTGGTTTCTTCATTAACAGAAATGCTACGATCTCTGCAGCAGCGACCCCACAGCCAGGAGGGGTCATTCCACCTTGTTACTTGTACTTGTGCCTTCCTGTACTCCACAGCCACAGTTGTAAATGGCATCAAGAGGCAGGGCAGTTTTAACTCAAAATTGAAAACTGCCAGATCACCTGCTATTCAAACTACAGACTTTTTCAGCACGGGCAGAAACTCCCCCGTTCTTCAGGCAGAAGAATGCAAGTTCTGAAGTTTGTAAGGAAAGTACTCCTTCCCACTCCAACAACTCCTGTAATGGTCTTCCACCCAAAAAAATTCCCAGCGAGCATTAGATAGTGTGTATAGTAGGATACTTCACTTTCAGAATGCAAGGGTGTGTGCGTGTCAGGTGGGTTAGCAGGGAAGAGAAGCGCAATACGTACGTAATTGAACAGCAGTTATAAAAACCCACTTTAGGAAGGCCTGAATTAAGCCTCAGTTCCAAGTGAAAACGCAGGTTAGCAAGATGCAACTGTCTGGGACAGAGGAACTAAGTCTCAACCCAGAAATAAGCACAAGTACAAAGTATTCAGTGTCATGATCCTGCTGGAAAATGTTTGAAAGCATAAGCCGTATTTTTTTTAGAGTCTGATGGGATGGAGGAAGAAACATCAATCCCCTTCCAGTAAGCAAAACAACCCTCGGTGTTTGAAGATGTACAGTTGTCAAATGCTTGGACCAGGAATAGATCTTTGGACTTGCGTAGTGCACACCACAAAGGGCCCCTGTGTTTTACTGTGTTACTCTGCACTAAAAGTCATCAAGAAGCCTACCAGCGTAACTCACTTAGCAGCAATGCGGTCACAGCACAAGTATTACTTCATCTGACACTCAATGCATGCATGAGTAGATATTTTACTGGGCAACCTGAAGTGGATTAAAGTATGCACCTAAATCTACCCCAAAATCTTGCTGTTCCAGAAAAGGAAGTTCCTATGACAGGAACCAGGTTCTTCCCAACTCTGTTACAATTCCTTGTCTGACTTCGGAAAAGCTGCTTCTTGTGGTTCCCTTTTATTATCTGTAAAATGAGGGTAAGTAATGGTCTATCTCTATGAGGAGCACTTATGGTCTACAAGATTGAGTATTAAGTTGCAGTAGTGACAAATGCAATAGAATAGCAAAATATCTGCATATTCTCTATCCTTCAACTGTTCATCAAGTTGTCTGCTACCCTTGTCTCTAACACTTCCATACCATAAGCATTTTTTCTAGCTATAGCGTTAATGGCATATGTAGAGTAAGTAGTGTACAGACCTGGGCTAAAAAATTTTGCTGGGGATCCTGATGAAGAGGTGAGATGGTGCCTTCTGGACCAAACCAAGCATTAATGGTGATGTCATCTTCTTCCCCTTCGCCCAAGCAGCAGTAGTCAGGGATACTGATATCCTCTTTCAATTCTGGGATCTATTCCCATAAAGAAAGAAACATTAAAAAGGGTATGTGCTGACTTGCCAAAGGTATGGAATTCATAGACAGAGGAGCAAGGCTTGACACAAAGAAAACAAATGACCTGCTTGTCCAGCAAGGGCAGGAGAGAAGTAGCTGAACTGGGAATCTGCAGGAAATTTCCTCACTGTCCTAGCAAGTGGATTCTGTTGGAAGGAAAGGTGGGAGAAAGAAAGGGGTTTCCCATTCTTCCCTTTCCTTTAGCAGAAACCAGAGAAACCCACAAGAATAAGTTTGCTGTTCACGGAGAAGAACCAGCTGATCTGTTATACACTAAGCTTGCTTCTCTGTGAGATTCCTTTTTACATCTCCCACCAACCTAATCTCTGGTTAACTGGAATGACATTTCAGAATGCAGTGAATATATCACCGCTGAAGATTGTTTCCTGTCCAAATCTCTTCCCTGACTTACACATTCTTTGGGGAAATGCTACTTTCCAGGTGATAACCCTGTAAGTATATGCTACATTATACCGAAACAGCACTAAGATTAAATGTCTTCACCCCTAAACGGGTTTTGTTTCCACACCTTTCAGCCAAATGGAACAACCCCTTCCCTCTGTTCTTTCAAATTGTGGGAATAGAAACTTAAGAAATGCTGTGAATTCTCCATATGCCCTTCCATCTAGTGAAGCTGACATCCTCACTGATGACTTGTGCTAGAAAGGGAACACTTAACTACAGACAGATAAAAACACTCTGTTTTACCTGATCAAAAAGCTGGTGCTGGGCAAGGTATCCTACACTGTTCTGAAATTACAGCAGAGAAAGAAAAAAATGCACAGTCACATACAGGGTAAGTCTTCTCAGGCAGTTAATTTACTTCTGGGTAACATGCATTTCCAACATCCTATTTCAGAGTACTAGAATCGTTTCAACAGTTGACTAGTATAAGAGGTCTTCTGAAATAGTAACTTACAGCTACACTGAAATTGTAAGAGTGTAGATATATCCCCACAATCAACAAATTACCTAGCTTGAGTTACTGGAAGAAGCCTAGCTATAATCCTACAGAGTCTCGACAGTTCTGTTGTCAATCCTGGGACAATGCTCTGCATCTTTATAGCTAGACCCTGCTGGTACACAGACTAGTTCACCTTCACTCCCTCTAAGTATCTCGATACTCTCTTCCAGGCTGCACCACAGACCAATTTGCAGTGATGCATGGTCCTTCCTGCCAGAAGAGTGGGAAACAGAAACGAGGGTCGTGAAAGTAAAAGGACATTCAATTGCTAATCAACTCTTTTTTTTTTTTTACCTGGTGGCATGTGAATTTGGATCTTGATCCTAGATCTCACTAAGTGGATTAATAACCGCAAGGTACAAAACTGCTGGCTGAGGATCCCTTATCCTTAGACTCCACCATTCAGGCATTTGCTGCAGAAGGTATCTATCTATTCATCAAATTCCATCTGCTGTACATTTGATTACATAAAAAAATCAAACCTATTGTTGCAATAACTATTTGTAGCTTCAGGTCTTGGAAATACATCAAACCTTTTAATTCAGAGTTGTGCTTACAGTATACCCCCTCCCTTGACATCACCTCTAAGCAGATTTGTTCTAAGCAGAAATTCTGTACCAGTAACACACTGCTGTATTTGGAGAGGAAACAAAAGGAGAGTAACAGACCTCATTCGCAATGTACTGGTTGATGAAATCACTGACAGTCATGAGCTTCTGAGACCATTCCTCATCGGTGTATCGGGTACCCAATTCCACGGGGACTGTGCGGCACCCTGCGACTTGACAAAAATAGTCCACACTGAAATAAAGAAAGTTCCGTTACCCTTTTATACTGCTGCTCTTACTAATTTTGAATGTAAAGCAATCAATCAACATCAACCTTCTGGAGAAATAAAACTCTGCTACCATGGGTTTCTTCTCTCTAAAACCAACCAACCAGAGACCAAGGTAGCAGAAAAAGGATGGCGCAGCAGGAAACAAGCAGTCAAGTTTGTGCGTATATTATGCCACAACTGTCTGTTTTAAAACCTAGTTTACCTCAGTTAACTATTGTTTCCTTAGGAGCTAAGGAGATTTAAACTGTTTGTCTCTCTTGCCCAGGGATGACTGATCTATTTGCTGCCTACTGCCACGTTTGCTAAATAAAATGTTGTATCTTTTTATCATTAATGCTAGATCAACTCTCTGTCAGTGCCAAATTCTGTATACGTGTGCCAATAATATCCATCCTGGTTAAGGTCAGAGGAATTACTTTGACGGGTACTATACATCTCTCTATTGACAACTGTACTAACTAAATGGAGAAGTTCATATTTTTAAGCATCTGAAGTTAAGCAGTGGAGTACCTTCCCTCAAAAAAAAAGTATAAACCCCTATGAAATAAGTGTGTTCAGTTACTGTCAATTTTACCCTTGGCTGTGGAATGAAAGCAATTGCTCAAACTAAGCGTGAGTGGTTTTTCCCCTTTTCTAGGGAATCACGAGCTTTCTCTCACAAATACTCAATTCTCAGTATTGGAAATGTTGGCTCCATTGCTTACATTACACAAGCAGTATTACTCACACCTGAATGGTGGTGTCTGAAACTCAACACTCAAACATGACACTGAACAAACATCAATGCTTGCACTTGTGAATGAAAAAACCAACCATGGTTACTCATGCATCTCTGAAATTCACTTTCCATTGCACTAATTATCAGCCAGTTCTGAGACGTAAAAATCCCTGATCTGACACAGACCCAGTTAAGACGTGAGCAGCTCACCGAACAGTTAGCAATACACGCTCATCGCCAGTTTCCAGCTGAGCAACACACAGTGTCAGCAATTCACCAGAGCGCTCCCGGCATAACCCCGGGAAGCAGGGCTCGGGGCTGCCGCCCTGCGCCGGCCAGGCCAGGACCGGGTTTCCCCAGCACACCGGAGCCCTTACCGTGCAATGCTCTGGATGGCTCCACGCGCTTCCCTCGTCTGTGGAGCAACTTCCACAAAGGCAACATCGCAGCAGGAAGGTGCTGCTCCCAATGGCACCTGTCTTCTGTGAAGGTCTCTACGCTTTACCGAGCGTCAAGATACCTGACACAGAAAATGATCCTCGCCCTTACTAGGGCAGGGAAGAAACTTATTTCTCACCTCCACTTCTTCATACATGGCCAGTGGTCAATAATGCCCTCTAAGACCACAGGCTTCTGTGGAATCAGGTAGTTGTCTCTGAAATGCTCCAGCGAAGGGCAGTGAAGGCGTGGAAGTGCTTCTTCTGGCTGCACAGCAGGGACTGGAGGGGGGTCAATCCGGACCCTCTGGAACAGAGACGTCCTCCTTCCACAGCTGCTAGCGAAGGCCTCCGCCGCCTCCCCGCCGGACCATGCACTGCCCGGCCC